GAATAACTGTCTGGAAGAGTACAAACAGACCTGACCATGTTTCTTGGAAATAACGGCAGGACTTCCCTGTGCTTCCCAGAACAGAGAGGGAGGGTCTGTCTGGGATGGCTTTGTTCTGGGGCTGCTGGGCTATATGGTCTTGGGACAGGTAAACAGACACACATTGTGCAGCACTGTACAGAGAAACACACTGTTCTTCAACTGCTGCAAATTTGTGGGTGTCTGTCAGTCTACTTGTCTGTTTGCGTGTGCATTTCTGTTAGCATATGTGTCTGTGTCTATGTGTGCATGCCTGTTAAAGTGTGTATGGGTATCCCCGTCTGTGTGTCTCTCTCTAGGTCTCTGTGTTCCCTCTCTCTCCCCTGGCTCTCCACTCCTGGAAACGAGAGATGCTTCTGACTCAGAAAGCAGTGTCCAGCTATCACAGTCAGGGGGAGGGGGGTGCTGGGATTCACTCTCCCAGTGGAAATTTGGCTCTTGGAGAGAAACCACAGCTCCAGCCTGTGCTGATTAATCCCAGAACTCCAAAAACAATGAAGTGTACTTTCATTTCCCTCATCTTTTTTTTCCTGACACATGGAGAGAAAAGTCGTACGTCTCCTCCGGGGGCACCAGGCCCCCAGCCCGAGAGAACCCAGCAAACCCCAGCCAGAGAAAACCCAGCAGCAGCGCTTTCAAAGATTTAGATTCATTTTTTTTAACCCTGAAATAACAGCAAAGACAACAAGTTTCAATAACACAATCAGTATCTGCGGTTTCCTATCCACTGTCTGTGAACAGAAGCTTTGTGGGTGCGCTCACGCCCCCCACAGGACAGGGGGGAGGGGCTGGGGCTGTCTGTGGGGCAGAGGGGAAGGGCTCCCCCTACAGGACTGAGCAAGGCAGGAAATCCAGACAGTAACAGTTAAAAAATTAAATTAAAATACACAAAACCAACAACAACAGTTTAGCAGTGAATTCACTCTCCTCTCTCAGAAGAAAAGACACACCTTTGTCTTGTTGGGTAAGAAACCAGTATTACACCCAGAAACACTCCTTTCATTCTCATCTTCTGCAGAAAGGGGACTTGAGTATTTTATGTATTTGGTGTGATTAATCATTGCCCTGAATCAAACACACAGAATTACACAGTGTACGTCAGCCACACTGCAGACCCTGGTGCTCTTTACAGCACCTGACCCTGCCAGTCACATACGCAGACAGACAGCAGCAGCACAAACTTGGGGTCACCTCTGATTCCACACAGAGAAGTGTGTA